TTCCTGGACCTTGCTCTGACAATACTTGGGTCATTTTCTTGAACAATTAAAATTTATGAAAAATTGTTTTAAAGGCAAGAGAAATGGAAAGAAGAGAGAGAGAGAGAAAAACCCATCCAAGTTTCACTCTCCAAGTAGCCACAATGGCAGGGGTTGGGCCATAGCTGGGAATGGGAGACTCAATGCAGGGCTCCCAGGTGGGTGGCAGGCACCTGAAGCATCCCACTGCTTCCCAGGGTCTGCCCTGGCAGGCAGGCAGTGTCTGGCGCTGGAACCTGATGGGCGACCCAGGCACTGTGGCATATGTCCTTCATCACCAGGCTAAATGTCTACCTCTTTCCTTGCCAATTTTAACAACTATTCTCATCTTTTTATTTCTTCTTCATCTGTTAGGTCATGATGCAACCAAGTGTATTTTGGACTGGAATCCACACTTTGAAGTCAGATTTTTTTTTAACTGGTGATATGGATTGAACCATGTGACACATGTGGGTATTTCTACATATGCAGGTGCAGTTCCATCCAGCTGTACCCAAACAAAGGCCACTTCCAAGTACCTTGCCGCTGGATGTGTGCAGATACACAGGATTTCCTGGGGTACCAGCACACTGGGCCTGGCCCCAGCTCCTGTGGTCAGGCCTTGCGACGCCAAGCTCCTCTCACCATGCAAGGAACTGCCAGCAGCAAATGGCTGCTGCTAAACTACACAGGACCTTGGGCAGGATGACTGCTTAATGCAACTCTGACCTGCAAGGGGAGCTGGGCACTGGCAGTGCCAAGTGTGTGCGAGTCCTGCTCATGATAAGGAAGAAAAAGGATGGGAGAGATGGAGAGTGAGCGGAAGGGCTGAGTGAGTGAGCTGACACCTGGCCTTGGGTGAAGGATTTAAACTTTGCAGGGCTCTCATTTTGATCTATGAAGCAGGGAAGACAACACTGGCAGTTTTTTGGGGGGAGGTGGTGGTTACAGAAGGCAGGGCGTGCCCAGCAGCACCCTGGGGCCAGCACGCCTCGGCTGGCGGCGCCTGAGCACTAAGAGACACAAAAATGAAAAGATTTCACCACTGCCTGATTCGGAAATCATCTTAGAGACAATGACAAGACCACACATAGGGTTGGAGGGCATCCTGCCACTGGATGATGCCCCCAGCAGTCATGCAAAGGGGAGCCCCCGGGACAGGCCTGCCTCTGTGAACTGGGGCACGGTCAGCGGTTGGCTCTATTTATAGATCCAAGCGAGGTGAAAACTCGGCAAGGCTGTGACCCCAGGACGCAGGCCTGTGACCCTCAGGAACTGAAACTGAGCCAGAGGCTAAGGTGAATGGCCCGGCTCTGAGTCCCTCGCCCGTGAGAAAGCAGGGGCCGGGGTGCAGAAACAGGTCAGCGGGTCGGCTGGAGCCAAGGGTGCTGCCGCTGACAGCAACAGTGAGACCTGCCAGGTGGGAGCAACTCCCACAAATGCTTCTCATCTCTCCTTCGGGAAAATTCGAGGTGACTCACCATCTTGTCTCCCCGGCAGGGTAATCCAGACAGCGACACCCTTCCAGCGGTCACAGTCATGGGCAAGGTCTTGTTAACAGGGGTGCTCTGACTTTCAAAAAGAGGTCAAAGTCAACACCACAAAATCACTTTTCCGTTTTGCAGCAATAATAGCCACTGGTTATCAGCCCCATTCTTGGTGCTTATCTGCTTTCCTTATGGAACCCTCACAACCCTGGGAGGTGGCTCAGAGGCCCATCTTGCAGATGAAACAGCCCAACTCAGATTTTTAAGTATGGGGACAGGGAGAAGTGTGGCACTGTGGTGTGGTAGGCTGATCTTTTGCCTGTAGCAGCAGCATCCCATGTGGGGGCCAGTTTATGTGCTGGCTGCTCCATTTCCCATCTAGCTCCCTGCTTATGGCCTGGGAAAGCAGTAGAGGATGGCTCAGGAACTTGGGCCCCTGCACCCATGTGGGAGTCCTGGGAGCAGCTCCCAGCTCTCAGCTTCGGATCAGCTTAACTCCAGCTTTTGTGGCCTTTTGGGGAGTGAATTGGTAAAGGGAAAAACTTTCTCTCCTCTCTCCTTTCTAATAAAAATAGAGAAGGAGAAACACACACACACACACACACACACACACACATACACACACACACACACACACACACACACACACCTTCTATCTGCTGGTTCTTTCCTCAAATGGCCATAACAAACAGGGCTGGACCAGGCCAAAACCAGGAGCTTTTTCCTGGCCTCCCACATGGGTGCAGAGGCCCAAGTACTTGGGCCAGCTTTCTCTGTTTTCCACATGCATTACCTGGGATCTGGATTGGAACTGGAGCAGCGAGGACTCAAACTAGAACTCTGATACAGAATGCTGGCCTCACAGGCAGCGGCTTCACCTACTGTGCTACATGCCAGCCTCCCTAACTCAAGTAGGGGTATTTCTCACAGGGTGCCCCCGTGCTGCTCCCAGTTCTGTGTTCAGGGACTCCCTCATGTTGATGTGAAAATTGGTGACAATATTACACTGCGGAGCCTGGCACACGGGACAGGTTAGGGCCCTCTTCCTTTTCTTTAAACTAACAAAGATCTGGCTGTTCACTCATTACCAGACAGCAATGAGCCAGGATTCCCATGGAAGACTCTCAGCCTCTGGCTAACTCTTTCCCAAGCTCCTGGGTTCAGGGCAGCACCATGTGCCTGCGGGCAGAGTGGCTTCTGGTGCCCTGCGGGATGCCCACTCTGCTCCCGGGATCACCAGTGAGCACATCCCACAGACTCCACTTTGGTGATGGAGCTGAGCTGCACACGGTCCTTCCGAGGCAAGGAGAACTGCTCTTCTGCCTCCCATCCCCCACTCAGCCCACCGAGTCCTGGGTGCGACCGCAGTGTTCACTACTGCCGCTGCTGCTGGGCAGGCTGAGCTGGCTGGGGCTGCTGGAAGCCCACCTGCAGGTGCTGTTGGAGAGGATGCCAAGTTCTGGAAACCCTGATCTTTCAGTCTTGGGCATTAAAACATGCAATGGCTGTTGGCACTTTCTGTTGGTTAGTTCCCCCTGAGAAAAGCAGCCCACCCCTCTTCTCTAGCCAGGGAAGGAAAGCCTGGGGAAAAAGCCCTACCTTCTCACCCTCACAACCTTGACTTCGGCTCACCATCCTTCTCCAGAAAAGGAAAACTAAGCCTCAGTCTGTCTCACTGAGTGCCGGCTGGCTGGCGATCATGGGTAACTTGATTAACCTCTCTGGTCTGGTACTCAGGGGCAGCTGTCAGGAGGTGCTGGGCAGTGGGATAATGGCTCCCTTAAGGTCCAGCCTGCTTTGCTGACATGCGGCTGGTCCTGAGCACATGTGGACATCCTGTGGCTGGCAGGGCCAGGAGGGTGAATAGCCCCGCAGCTCCCACTGCCCACCACTGATTACTATCACCAATGAACATTGCAGAATTTCTCCCCAGCCCCAGTGCTAGCCACTCTGGCTGCAGCTAGAAACCCTACTGAGTCTGAAGCAAACCTCGGTCCCGTCAACTTCCAGCTCAGCAGGCAACAGAGCCATACTCGCCCGCTGCGGCCACGGTGATCTTAAGACTGTGTCGTGGAGTTCAGGGGCAAGCCCTCGGGAGGGAGATTGGAACTTGGCACACAACAGCCCTGAGCAAAAGGGCATGCTCCTGTAGGCGCCAGAGGGGCGAGGCAGGCTGGGGAGAGCCAGCGTGCTCAGCGGGTTATAACCACATGTTCGTCGGAATCACCTGGGGACCTCTGAGCAATGTGAGGACGGCAGAGCTGCTGGGAGCCAGGCTCAGATTCAGCAGGACCTGCAGTGGTACCCATGGGTGGGAGTTCCCAAAAGTGGCCCCCTGGGGAGTTCTCGGGAGCTATGGCTACCACTCGCCAGCCTGCACACTTAACAGGCAGGGAGGGCCTTCCTCATGCAGCTGGGCAAAGGCCGGGCAAGGGTGTGGACGCGGGACACGGGGTTGTTGGCTGCCTGGGGATTCCCAAGGTTCCAGAGTGCACGAAGACTGGCACAGGAAGGGACGGGCCCTCCTGCTGCCCACCAGGCCCACACTTGCTTCCTTTCCAGCTCACATTGGGGGCTCCAAGAGCTGCAGGAGACCAAGGACCCCTAAAGCTGGACTGTGGCCAGGAGGGCCTGACCTCACTGTGGAAGGGCTGCTGGGTGGGCCCAGCTCTCAGCCCTTTCCTTCCTTGGGGGGATAGCCCTGCTACACCTCATGCACAAGCTGCTGGGGAAGTTGAGGCAGGGTAGGTGATGGAAGCAAGAGGCTAGGCTTTCAGGCACCGGAGTTGCCTGTCTGCTGGGAGCGTTTCTGCAGCTCTCAGCCCAGGTTCTCCCCTCTATGGAAGGGGGTAGCTGCAGGAGCTGGCAGCGGCTGTGAGATGCTGTCTGGCCCTAAAAATCTCCTTGTTGCAGCCACACTGAGAGGGCACAGGCTGCTTTCTCCAGCTTGAAGGGATGGGCTGGAACCCTGGCCCATGGCCTTCTGGCAACACCTGCACAGAGCTGAGTAAACCCCCTGTACTCTCCCCTCTGCCCTCCCAAGGGGACAGGAAGAGAGGGCAAGTCAGGGCTGCCAGGCACGCGGCACACAGGGAGCTGGAGGGTCTGGTTGAGTGGCTGGAACCCTGCAGGCTGGGCAACTTCCTTCGGGGCAGCTCCCTTCTCTAGAGAAGGACTGTGCTGAACGGGAAATGTTCGGGACCTTTCTCTCTCTCTCACACACATACACAGAGGCATGCCACTAGTTTCAGGAAAATACAAAGCCACAGAATGTTTAATCTTAAACTTTTAGTTTCTGAGACAAAGGCCGTGGGAGAAGGGTGTGTGCACTGATGACGTCTTACTTTCCCTGGAACACGACTGCATCCTGATTTGTGAGTTTATTTCTTCCAACTAAGACACACAAGGAAGGAAAGAAAGAGGATGCTCCCAGAGCGAGGGGCTCCGGGTCTCAGGCTTCTGCCAGCCAGCTGAGTCTGGGTTCCAGAGGAGTGGGGCTGTCTGGGGTGCATAAAGCTGCTGTGTGAGCAAAATGCCGCGTGGAGACGTTCCAAATGGCTTCCAGGAAGCAGCCGTGTGTGCTGACACGCGTGGGGACTGAGCAGTCTGGCTGGCCAGCTCTTGAGACGGGTGTTTCCTAGAGCTTTCCATTGGCAAAGGCTGCCTCCTGGAACTGAGGCACAAAGGTTTTGAAATACGCCCTGGGGGGAAAGAAGAGGGAGGGAACAATGTGGTTAGCACAGGCGACTCGGCAGAAAGTGCGATGGGCTTTCGTGCCAACGCGGCCCAGTGTGACTGACTGTTCACCCGTCTTGGGTTGGATTTTCCTTCTCTGCTGAGGCCAAGCCCTCCGGACTTCTCCAGAGGAGGGACACACAGTACACTGCTGTGTTACCTCTTGCAGAGTTAAAGTGTGTGCAGACAGGCAGGGTTTCCTGGCTGCCAGCTCCCATTAGACACCATACTCAGTCCTGCTTTGCTTTCCCAGGACCAAGACAAGGGATCTGAATTCTGGGACTGGCTGTGTCCCCATTCAGTTGTATCTTTGCCTGTATGCAGTCAAGGACAGTCTGACGGTGTTTCCTAACTGGTATCCACTCTCCACCTATTTCCAGATCCATCTGCAGTGTGGTCACTGGAAGGAGAGCCAGGCTGGGTGTTAGGAGAAACTTTCCTGGCCAGGCGGAGTAGCTATGCGACATGGGACAGATCAGGTGTGGCCTTTCTGACCCTCAGGTCCCTAATCTGTAAAGGCAGGGTCATGTTCTTTGCCAGACAGGCACGTACTGAGCTCACCCTGGGCCAGGCACGGTAGGAGGTGCTGGGGTGCTGAGATGACCCAGGCGTGACACCTGCCAATGCAGGAGGTGCCAAATTAGAAGAGGAGGCACGTTCAGAGATGGGAGAGAGCATGTGGGCACCAGCGTGGCTGGCAAAGAGTGGACATTGTGGCTCGAGGATGCAGTAGGATCAGAGGTTTTTTGTAAGCAGCCAGTGAAAGCTCTGCCAGAACAAAGCCAGCTGTTCTGAGAGGTAGCAGGTGGGCTAGGCTAGCTGCCTGGTGCCCCGAGGCTGACAGCCTCGAAATCATATCTCGCTTGTGTATGCAGAAGTGGCTCGCCCAGCAATCTCTTCCCTGAGCAGTGACAAGAACCAGGAAAGTCCACCAATCAGCACTGTGCCCAGGGAGAGCCTCCCACATCTGTTTTGTTTAGGATATGGGTCTAATAGGCCTGGCTCTCCAGGTTCTGGCTCTGGGAGTGTCAGGGCCAAGCTCCAGGCAGGAGGCAAATTTGCCAGAGCAATGATGGGCAACAACACACAACCCACCTGCGAGCAGCTGACAGAAAGGCACTCGGGGACACGGCAGCTCTAATGGCACAGGTGTTGTACAGGGTCTCAGGCAGACCAGGCTACATGCAGCAACTGGTCTCATGCCTACCCTCCGCCCCTGCCAGGCCACCTAGATCACTTGCAATCTTCTTTCCAGTGGCGCCACTCGGAAACTCTCCAGCTCCTTCTCCATCTTAGCAGCACTGCCTGGAGTCCTCTGTCCAGAGGCCCTCCTGCCCTGCAGCTGCTGTGATACGCTGCCTTAGGCCTCCCACTTCTCCCTTCCTTACCCTCAGAAACAATCTTTCCTTCCTTTTTGCCCTCCACTCCCCCTCAGGCAAAGCAAGGTCAAGATCAAGATCACCATTACTCTCAGGCTTGCATGGCCTTGAGCAGAGCATTCCCTGGGTCAGGGCAGGTGAACTTCCACTTGTACCTTCCCAAGCCTCCATGGGACATTCTGGCATGAAAGCTGCTCTCTCACTCGGAGTCCCTGTGTTCAGGTGGGCATCCTCCTCACCGTGAAGGACTAGGGAGTGCTCTGATCAGTCTGGACCCCATGCTGTAGAGGCTGCTGCTCCGTGGGTTCAGGCATTCTTTTGAGAAGCTAGGAAACTAAGGATCCTGACCCTAGAGACACTGTAGATGAGATCTCTCCCCCGCAATGCACATGTCAGACACAACCAGGGGGTGTCACAGACCCCTGTGGCTCACCCACACTCCAGAGTCTGAGTCCTGATCGACAACTTTCCACCCACAATGAGGCCCCCTGCTCCGGCCAGGCTCCACCTGTGTGCAGGCTCCATGCCTTCCTCTTGCCAACCTCCTGCTGGTCACTGAAAGGTGCTCTCCTTGCATGCACCTGGTGCTTTTTCAGGGCATTGGTGCTGTGTGTGTGTGTCCTATCTGCCATGCCAGCCTGCCAGCCCTGGGAGGTGCTTGGTGAATGACAGCCACCGGTTTGCAAAGAGTAGCACCCAGCATGCCCAGCTGCTGCTTAAGAAGGTGGGGAGAGGACAACAACTCCCTACTCCCCAGCCAGGAAAGGTTATACTTAGGGGAAAACTTGAGTCTGCTCTCACTTGTGAACCTCTGCCAGGGATGAAGGAGAGAGAGGGACAAGGTATCATCCGCTACCCTGCCTAAGCAGCATGCCCGAGCCAGCCAAGCCGTCACTATCCCTGACACCTCCATGACTGTGTCCTCAGGGCCCAAGGTGGGCCATGAGGAGTAGCAGGGATGGGGTCCTGGATTTAAAGAGAGGTTGCATGGGGCTTCTGAGAGTAGGGGCAGGAGCCTACCAAGGGTGCCATGTGTGGGAAGAGTCAGTTGCCACCCACATGTCAAGTGGTCCTTCACCATGTGTCACCTGCTGCTGTTTTCCCACCAGTGTGGTTGTATAGCCTGGGAGAGCTCATGGGCTCCTATTGGGGCAGGGACAGAGATGGACTGGGTGCTGTCTCAGCTTTCCAAGGACCTGCAGGTACCATGAGGCATGCTCCACACCAGCACCCACTTACAGGTGAGAGAGATGCTAAGGAGACAGGTTATCTACACGGGGGCTAACAGCATCTGCTGAGTGAGTGAGTGGGGCCAGCAGCTGGTGTAGGTGGCCAGAACCAGGGTACTGGTTAGGTGAGCAGTGCTGTGTGCTGTGTGCTGTGTGCCCCAGGCCTGGACTAACATGGGTCCTGAGCTCATCTCACCAGCTCAGCTTTTCTTGTAAACTCTGCGATGTTACAAGATCCTGACACACAGAAAATTCTTGGCAAGAGCTGGAGGCTGTAAAGGTAAGCTGTTTCCTTTGCAGAAAGTTCTAAAGTTGTCTGTTGTGCTCTGGGCTTTCCCCGCCAGGGCAAACTGCAAGCTGTCGGGGGGGGGGGGGGGGGGAGGCAAAGATAGGCTAGTTGAGGGCAGGACGCTCCTAGCTGTTTGCAGTGAGCATTTCCTGGTCAGGAAGCCAGCGAGGGGAGGGAACATGGGTACTAGTTCCCACCTATTTATGTACATAAAAATTCTTTTAAAGGAGATTTTATTTCACGTTTTATCCGGAAAAACGAAGAACTGCCTGCAGAACAGCTTGCTCAGGGCACTGGTTATCTGTCATCTTTGAAAAATAATCTTTGACCCAAAGACTAGGCATGTGGGGCTCTGAAGGCACAAGTGTCTCCTGCTGCTCTGTTAACTGGCCACTTGGCACCCACAGGAGGTCTGGCATGTTCCTGGCCCGTCACACCCACCCTGGAGGAGAACTGATTTTTAAGCCAATTTAGAGTCTGGGAAACCTTACAACAGAATGGCTCTGATTGCCGAGGGTCACAGAGCCACAGTGCAGTTCTCCATGTCTCAGCCAGGAGACTGACATGCAGAGATTGGTTCCCAGCCCGAGGCTGGGTAGGTTCTGCACAGCTGGAGCACAGTGGTGCCAGCCCAGGCCTAACCTCATGGTGGGACAGGAGGAGGGTTGCAGCAGTCCCCGGACCAACAGTCATGGAACCAGAATGTGTCCTTTGCGTCCACATTTCCATGCCTTGGGCCCAGGACTGTGTCCCCTCTCAGGGTTTTAGCTCCCTCATCTATAAGGCAGGGAGCTGAGCCTGAGAGATTCCAGGGGCTATGGCTGTGGACCAGGTGGCTCAAGGAGTGTAGGTAACCAACTAGCTTGTCTCTTCATCCAGGAAAGGGGAATAATTGCTCCTATTTAAGGTACTTTTTAAATAAATAAATAAATTATATATATATGAAAGACAGAGTTACAGAGTATAGGGTAGAGAGGGGGAGAGAGAGAGTGAGCTCCAGTTTGCTGATTCATTCCCCAAATGGCCACAACAGCTAGGGCTAGGCCAGGCTGAAGCCCAGGAGCTTAATCCAGGTCTCCCATGTAGATGCAGGGCCCTAAGTACTTCGACCATCTTCTCCTGCTTTCCCAGGTACCTTAACAGAGGGCTAGATCAGAAGTGGAGCAACCAGGACTCAAACCAGCATGCATACAGAATGTTGGCACTATAGACAGTGGTTTAACCAGTGTGCCACAGCACTAGCCCCAAAGTGTTCTTGCGAGGACTAGGTGAGATGGTCCAAAAAAGTCTTTGGCATGATGCCTGCCTTAATAAACAATCAATAGGTGTCCACTATTCCCATGGACCAAGCTGGGTCTAAAGGGGTGAGTCTGGAGGAACAGACTACGTAGACACACGTGTCAGGAGGGGAGTCCTTGGTGGAAGGGAGGTCTCAGGGTCCTTGCTAGCAATTCCTCATTTACTATGTAGTTTCTTGGATCAGGCCCTTCCGTCCTACTAAATACAGGGAGCTGGCATCTGGGGGCACAGAGATGGCCACTTGGAGCCAAGCACTCAGCCAAAGTTATCTGGACAGTGTGTATGTCTTAGTTCAGGGGCTCTTGCCAACCCTTGTCTGTCTTCTGTTCAAACTCTTTGTGCGGTGTTGGTCAAAGGCTTGGTCAGGGAGGTGGCTAAAGCTGCTGGTTAGATGGGTATGTGAGAATCACAGGGCTCTTGGGGTGGGCACTTAGTCTAGCAGTTAAGATGATGGCCAAGACGCTCTCATCCTGTATCAGAGTACTTGGGCTCAGTGCTTTACTCCATCTCCTGATTCCAGTGTCCTGCTAGTGCACATCTTGGGAGTAGACAGAAGTAATGGTGCAAGTAACTGGGTTTCTGCCAACAGCAACGTGAGCCCTGGATTGAGTTCCTGGCTCCCTGTTTCAACTTAGCTTATGTTTAGCTCTTATGGGCATTTGGGGAGTAGACCAAAGATGGGAGCACTCTCTTTCTCTACCTCTCAGAAAAAAATGCCTCCAGGCTGTGAGTGCACACAGTTAGGGCCCTGTCTGTTGACCAGGTGGTCA